ACCTTTGAGTTATCTATCTAACGCACTTCGTTTCACCTTATTCGGAGTTCGGACGAAGAAGTTATGCCCATTTTCGTAAAGTCTGTCCGGCAGAAAATCCAAATTCCAGTAGCTGATTTTACTGTTCATCTACTGTTCACCCGCCTGTTTTTTTTTCTAAGTGTTGGACCCTTTTTTTCAAAGGACTTATATTAATTCCTAGATACCATAATCCAATTCCCATCCCAAAAAAAAACATTTCCCTCTCTACAATCCTCCATTTAAGAAGAAGAAGAAGTGGGAGCTAGGGCTTTGGATTCAAGGATTTCTTCATCAATTTTCGTGGGAGATCATAGCAAAGGTATGGGGGTCTTGATCCTTGTCTAATTTTCCATACAAGGAGCCAAATCCAAAGTTACTTCAAAATATGAAAAATCTAGGTTTTCACTCAATCTCATGGGTTCTTCCATCAAATGGTTTTAAAAGGTTTCTAATGGCACTTTATGGTTATATTGTTGTTGTATTGACGATTTAAGATGAAAATACTCCATGAACCCATGATTTCTCTCTATTCCTAGTTTATGCCTTTATGAAGTGGTTGCTAGATAATGAATGTATATGAATCAAACTTGTTTAAAGGTCTTTAGATTGTTGAAGTATGTCATTACCCATGCTTATTTTATGGTGTATTGTTGGTGTATTGGTATGTGAGGCTTATGGCCTTAAAGGCATAGTATGAGAAATTGGAGTGTTATCATGACATTATATGAATGAGAATCCAATGAAGATAATGTGATCATGTTATGAATGTAAAGGTGTTGTTGTAGGTTGTTCACTGTTTTGGTTGCATAATTACTACCCTAATTTCCATGCTCTTTGATTTCATTACATGCCTTCAAGGTGTTTGACAAAATGTCCAACTATGGAGAATTGATAAATTGATGTTTTAAAGCTTGAGTTATGAGATGTATGGAACTTCAAAGATGTGTTGATGACAAACTAAGCTTGTGTATATGTTCATTCCATACGTGAGATTGCATTAGAGCCTAATGAGAATTTCCTATATAAAGTGTTGCATGACCATGCCCGGTCCGGGGGAAAAGAACCGGACAACCATGTGAGAGGTTTATATCTCACCACCTAGGATGTTTGGGGTGTGACCAACATCAACCATGTGAGAGGTTTATATCTCACCACCTAGGATGTTTGGGGTGTGACCAACATCAACCATGTGAGAGGTTTATATCTCACCACCTAGGATGCTTGGGGTGTGACCAACATCAACCATGTGAGGGGTTTATACCTTGCCACCAGGGTGTCCGGGTGTGAACGGCATCCCCCATCCTAAGTTGGGGTTATAGATTGGTTGGATCATGCATACACATATGATATCTACTATTAGTATAGATTTACTTAAACATGTTTTGACTTCACTTTGATCATGCATCCTCATATTGTTATTCATAATGCCTATGAAACTATTTCTTGTATTTCGATTGTGTCCTTGTTTATTGTTGTGTTGCACCCCGCATACTTAGTACATTCCAAGTACTAACGCATATTTTGCCTACATGATGTCACCATGTAGGGACCGAAGCTACTCTTGATCTTTCTCTCCATTCACGTGGCTAGTACGACGGTTATCCGAGTTTGTTGGTGAGTCCTCAATAATTCGAGGGCTATGTTATGTTTCTTACTCCTATGTTTTGAGACTTTAGCTTGCAATTGTATTTTAACTATGAGGGGAGCCGGTAATATGTCATGGCCCCCGTCCTATCTATGTATGTAGAGGTGTGAGTTGGACAAATATTTTGTAAACGAGCTTGACTCTTATTCTATGATGTCATTTTGAAATGGTTTGCCTTAGTCCCTATTTCCCGTTAATTAATGTTGAATGTACTTCCGCGACCGATGAAGTGTGATGACAAGTTTGAGAGGCTTGTTTGGGGTTCCTTCGGGTTCTTCATTCGCCATGTCACGTCTAGGCCCTAGGCTTGGGTCGTGACACTACGGATCGTCGGGTTTAACTTGGCGAGTCACCGAAACGACATGAACCGCCCTTCGTTCTAGTACGCGAAGCCTTGAAGGAAGTGGATCAAAAGGCAAGGAAAAGAGAAGTCAGCGAGTCGCCGATCAGTTCCGCGACACAGTACTGTATCGCCCAATGATCTAGAATGCAAGGATGATAAAGACAAGACACTGAAGGTGATGAGCTGACCAAAGGGCGGATCGCCGAGTTTATCAGCGATCTTGACTAATGTCGCCGAACAATCCTCCGCAGCACAATCTGTGAAAACAATAAATACTATTTAGCATTGTAGTCTTAAGAGATTTATCGGGAGTGGAAAAATTATTATTATTATTTTCACTTTAGAACATATTCTAGCTGATATTTTTCTCCCAAGTTTGGAGAAGGTTTTGTGGAGACTTGAAGAAAGGAGTTCTTTTTCCCCAAGTTGGAAGTGGGTCTTCTCTATTAATTTTCCTTTGCTTAATTTAAGTTTTAATTTCTTATACCCAGTTGATTTCATTATCATGTTAGGTATAATTTCTTATTTCTTGATGTGTGGCTAAAAACCCCCATTCTTGGGTGTGACTTAGCAAATATGGGTTGATATTTATTTGCTTGATATTCTTGTTGGGTCTTGCCTGCTGATAGGTTAGATGTATTTTAATGGTGATTTCACCTAGTGATTGTGGTTTAATCTAAAGGGTTTGTAGTTGCATATACAAAGCCACCCATGTGTTTTCAGCTTGCCCGAGAAGGAGGTCACAAAACCAAAACCACTAGACCGATGGCCTAAGGAGTGGGTCGACATGAGGTTCAGCCCGAGAGGGTGAGCCCTAGTCCCATATACTAACACTCAGCTCAAGAGAGTGAGTGGGGTAAGGCATAGGCTAGTCTTCATGCGGCAAATGGGTGTCCGAGAGGAACGCATTTGAAACTGGGTAAGTTTCCCGAGAGGGAACTTATTTCCATTTAAAGCTTAGCCTAGTCACTATTTTTTTGCAAATTTCCTATCGAAAGCATGTACCCAACAATTTATCTCAACTTGTATTGCGGTCACATCCCAAGAATCTTTCCCCATACTTGATTTTCGTGTTTATTTTGCTGCTTTATCACTTGTTACAAAACCCCCATTTGATATTTGACACTTTCGTGTCACCCCCTTTTATTTACTATGTTTTTGTTCGTTAATATCTTTAGCTACGACTAGTTAGAATGTAAATTCTATTTTTCTATCAATTCTAAAAACTGCTCCCTTGGGACACGACCCCAACCCTCGATTGGGTTACTATATTATCAACGATCGTAGACACTTATACCGTAGGTTAGTGTCGTTGGTCACGATAAGCATCAAAATGGCGCCGCTGCCGGGGAGTGTTGTTATTTGAGAATTTTTAGTTGAGTAAAGTTTTCGTTTTGTTTTAGTCGTAGTTTACTAACTTTACTCTTAGTTTTGTTTTTCTTTGAGTTTTTGATTGTATGTAATCCCAAGGATCATTGGCAAGAATTTCTGTTTTTCTTAGTTTTAGCTTTACTAACTTAATTTTTAGCTTTGCTTTGCTTGTTTGTGTTGAAAACAGAAATTATGAGTGAGGACGTGGGGGACAGTTGCCACGCAAACAACCCATTGAATATTGACTTGGACCGAGATGACATTGACGATGCAAATAGTGTTTATGACCCCGCTCCATTGGGTGAGATAGGTGCAATTCGCTTGTCGCAGGGTGGTGGAAACGGAAATTTTGAAGTCACTAGCACAACACTCCATCTCATACATTCAAGGGGCCTATACGAAGGATTGGATCATGAAGACTCACATAAACATATCCAAAGCTTTTTGGACGTAAGTGCTCCGTTATCATTCAAAAATTGGTCGCAAGAAGCCATCAGGCTTCTCTTATTCCCATTGTCACTGACAGGAGCTGCCACTACATGGTTGTTTGAGCTTCCCAAAAGTTTTATCACATCATGGAAAGAATTAGTCACTGCTTTCCACAATAGATTCTTTGCCCCGTCAAAAATGATGAAGTTGAGGGACGACATTCAGAATTTCAAACAAAAAGCAAGTGAACCAATTCATGAGTCATGGATTAGATATAAGAGGTCTCTGCGAAAATGCCTAACACATGGGTTGCCAAGTAAGTTGCTACTCCAATATTTTTACCGAAGTCTTGATTCAGTCAACAAAGGGATAGCTAATCAATTGGCCCAAGACGGCATAATGCTACAGCCCTTTGAGGTGGTCTCATTTCTCCTAGATGGTATGGCGAGAGTAAATCAAGCTTGGTACACCAAAGAAGATCAAGTCTCCCCTCTGTGTTTCAGGATAACACAAGAGCAACTCAATAAAGAAAAAGAGAGGGATGAAAACATCAAAAAGATGTTGTCTCGGATGGAAGATTTACAAGAGCACATGAAAGGCAACTATGAAGTGTTTCGCACAGAGGGGGTTTCTTTTTCCAATAACTTCAAATCGGGAGGGAATTAAGGTAGGAACCATAGAAGGAATGAGGAAGGTTTCCACCCGCACTATCAATCGCGGGTTGGAAATCAAGGTTGGAACCACCCTAGAGGTGAGGGACCTAGGCGATATTTCCAAGAGTGGACTGAGCATACCGATCATGAAGAATACCAAACTCAATTGAGTGACAGCCCGACATCAAGGGGGAGTGACAGCAGCCCCAGGGTGAATGATCTACTGACACGAATTCTTAAGAAAGATGAAGGTTCTGATGATTTGCTGAAAGGAATGAGAGATCATTTTTCTTCACTAAATAGCAAGGTGAACTCTCATGCTAATGCCATCAAGATGCTGGAAGGTCAATTGAATATCCTATCGGCTCAACTAACAACCAAGATGCCAAAGGAAAATGAGGAAGAAGAGTTGGTTGTAACTACCCGTAGCGGGAAGGTAGCAATAGGTAATGAAGGAGAAGAACGTGAGGAAAATTAGGGTGAGGAAGAAGCAGAAATTACCGATCATCAAAACATCGGCAAGAAAGCACAAGAAGCAATGAATCAACACAATGAAACTCCAAAAATAATACAACCCTTACCCAAAATACCTCCACCTTTTCCCCAACGTTTGAAAAAGAAGAATGAAGATGAGAGGTTTAAAAAATTCTTGTCTGTGTTCAAGAAGTTGCCCATCAACCTTCCTTTGGTGGAAGCATTGCTGGAGATGCCAGGGTATGCTATATTCATGAAATAGTTAGTCACTAAGAAGAGGATCTTGGATTATGAAATGATTGAAGTGCCTCATAGTTGCAGTGCGATCATGACAAATGAGTTAATCACTAAAAGAGAAGACCCTGGTGCTTTCACCATCCCGTGTACTATTGGAATGCTCCAATTTGCCAAGGCTTTATGTGACCTAGGATCAAGCATCAACCTGATGGAATACGCCATATACAAGCAACTTGGATTGGGAGAACCAAAGGCAACTACCGTGAGACTTCTCAAGGCAGATCGATCAATCAAGCATCCTGTTGGGATCCTCTACGATATCTTGGTCAAAGTGGATCGGTTCATATTTACAGCTGACTTTGTGATTTTAGACTGTGACATTGATGTTGAGGTCCCCATTATTTTGGGAAGGCCATTCTTAGCAACCGGCAGAGCATTAGTGGATGTTGAAAGCGGCAAGTTGAAATTCTGTGTGAATGACGATGAGGTAACTTTCAACATCTGCAAATCCATGAAGCAACCAAGTGATATCCATGTAGTGTCTACTGAAGATGTTATAGATGAGGCAGTGGCAAGTGTGAGCCATCTGCTGCGCAAGAATGAGCCTCTTGAGTCAATACTTGCAAATCATGACGATTCGGAAATTTAGGTATATGATGAAATGATCGCAGTGCTAACAGGGTTAGGTGCATATACACGAAATCCAATTAAGTTGGATATCGACCTAAAAAACCGATGCAGCCCACCTGCAAAGCCATCAATTGAAGAGCCACCAACTCTAGAACTGAAAGTACTCCCATCCCATCTCAAGTATGTTTTGTTGGGAACTAACAACACTCTGCCAATGATTATTGCAGCAAATCTGAGTGAAGGGTAGATAAAAGTGCTTGTTAAAGTACTACAGAAGCACATAAAAGCGATCGGATGGACCATAGTTGATATCGTGGGCATCCCGCCTGGTATCTGCACTTATAAGATTTGACTGGACAGTGAATGCAAACCCAGTGTGGAGCATCAGCGAAGGTTGAACCCCCAAATGCAAGAGATAGTAAAAAAGGAGATCATTAAGTGGCTTGATGCAGGATAAATCTATCTGATTTCAAACATCAAATGGGTCAGCCCAGTGCAATGCGTACCAAAAAAAGGTGGAATAACAATGGCCCCAAATGCTAAAGGAGAGCTTGTGCCGACTAGACCTGTAACAGAATTGAGGGTGTGCATGGATTATCGAAAGCTAAATTCATGGACTAAAAAGGACCATTTTCTAATGCCCTTCATGGACCAGATGCTTGACAGGTTATCAGAGAAAGGGTGGTATTGTTTTTTGGATAAATACTCTGGATACAACCAGATATCTATCACACCAGAAGATCAAGAGAAAACCACTTTCACATGCCCTTATGGGACCTTTGCATTCAAAAGGATGCCATTCGGACTTTGTAATGCACCGGCAACTTTTCAACGATGTATGTGGTCCATCTTTGCGGATATGGTTGAGGACTCTCTGGAAGTCTTCATGGATGATTTCTAAGTTGTGGGGGACACATTTGAAGAATGCTTGACACATTTAGAGCAAGTGCTCCAAAGGTGTGTGGAAACTAATCTAGTCCTAAATTGGGAGAAATGCCATTTCATGGTGAAAGAAGGCATTGTTCTTGGGCATAAAGTGTCGCAACAAGGGCTGGAAGTTGACAAAGCAAAAAGTGAGGTTATCGAGAAACTACCACCGCCGATCTCAGTAAAGGGGATTCACAGTTTCTTATGCCATGTAGGCTTCTACCGGAGATTCATTAAGGATTTCTCAAAGATTGCATAACCATTATGCAAACTCTTAGAGAAGGAAGTGAATTTCTACTTTGATGACGCTTGTATGGCAACATTTAAATGTTTGAATGAGAAATTGATATCCACACCAGTTATCATCAGCCCAAATTGGTCAGAACCATTCAAAGTGATATGTGATGCGAGTGGGATGGCACTAGGTGTAGTATTGGGACAAAAGCGTACCAAACTGTTCACCCAATCTATTACGCAAGAAAGACTCTAAATAGTGCCTAGTGAAATTACACAATCACTGAACAAGAGTTGCTAGCAATGGTCTATGGTTTTAAAAAGTTCTGGGCATACTTGCTAAGCACTAAAGTAGTTGTTCATACAGACCATGCAGCACTCTGATACCTCATGGCAAAAAAGGATATGAAGCCAAGACTGATAAAATGGGTGCTACTCTTGCAAGAATTCAATTTTGAGGTGTAAGATCGAAAAGGTTGCGAGAATCAAGTTGCAGATCACCTATCACGGTTAGAGAATAAAGCAGGTACTGAGCAGGAAAAAGAGATAAATGACTCATTCCCAGACGAGCAGATATTCGCACTGTCACTCACAAACGTGCCATGGTATGCTGACTTTGCAAACTACATCGTATATGTGGGTTGATTCCCGATGAGTTAAACTCTTACCAACGAAAGAGGTTCCTATTTGATGTTAAAAGATACTTCTGGGACAAGCCATACTTATTTTGGGAATGTGTTGATCATGTCATAAGAAGGTGTGTTCTGGAAGAAGAATCAACAGAGATCCTCCATGCCTGCCACACATCACCAGTAGGGGGTCATCATAATGGAAACCGTACCGCAAATAATATTCTCCAAAGTGGTTACTATTGACCTTCTCTTTACAAAGATGCCCACGATTTTGCAAAGATATGTCCTCAATGTCAGCAGCAAAGCGGAGTGTCAAGAACACACGAGTTTCCCCTTACACCTATTTTGGAAATCAAACTACTCGATGTGTGGGGAATTGATTCATGGGTCCATTTGTCAGCTCGTTTGGAAACAAGTATATCTTAGTAGCTGTGGACTATATGTCCAAATGGGTGGAGGCTGTCGCACTCCCGAATAATGAAGGAAGAAGCGTTGTCCAATTTTTGAAATGCTATATCTTTGCACGGTTTGGCACTCCAAGAGCAATCATTAGTGATGGAGGATCGCATTTTTGCAATAAGTGGTTTTCTAGTGCATTGAGAAAATACGGAGTAAAACACAAGGTCGCCACTCCATATCACCTCCAAACAAGCGGACAAGTTAAGGTGTCAAATCATGAGATCAAAAGCATTCTATGCAAGACAGTAAATGGCAGCAAAACCGACTGGTCTAGAAAGCTTGACGATGCCCTGTAGGCATATCAGACTGCTTACAAGACAACTATAGGAATGTCCCCATATCAGCTAGTTTTTGGTAAATCATGCCATTTATCTGTTGAGCTAGAACACAAAGCCTTATGGGCATTGAAAGCTCTGAATTTAGATTGGACAAAGGCTTCAAGGGAGAGGTTGGACCAATTGAATGAATTAGATGAGTTCAGGCTCAAATCTTACGACAGTTCAGCCATTTACAAAGAGAAAATGAAGAAATGGCACGACACACAGATAGTCCAGAGGGAATTCAATGTTGGAGATTGGGTGCTATTGTACAACTCACGACTAAGGCTATTCCCAGGAAAGCTAAAATCCAAATGTATGGGCCTTTCAGAGTGACACGAGTGTTCACCAATGGTGCCATAGACGTTGAAGGTAAAGAAAGACCCTCATATAAAGTTAATGGACAGCATTTGAAGTTATACCATGGGGATTGCCAAGACATCACTTTAGTTGAAGAATTGTACCTGGAGGATGCTTGATAGTATTCCTACGTCGTGCCATGACGTTAACTAAGGCGTTGTTTGGGAGGCAACCCAAAACCCTTTATTGTTTTGTTTTACTTTGAGAAAATAATGGTGTGTAGTTTGTACAGGTTGAAGCAATGGAGGAGAGTGAAATAATGTATGGAGGCAAACGACAAGTCCAGTTGGCGGATCGCCAATGATATCTACGAGCACGACTCTTTCTGCCAAGTGACTCAAGGCAATGTCAGCTGGGATTCTATAAAACTTGGCGTTCAGTAGAAAATTAATGGCGAATCACCAACCATGTCGGTGATTGCAATATAGACCGCCGTTTGAACTCTCACAGTTTGGGTTTGGAGTCTGTAAAACTTGGTGCACGTAAAAAAAAAATTAGCTGCGAATCGCCGACCCTGTAGGCGAGCACAATGCAAACCACCGTTCGGACTCACCTGCAACCAAAGGTCCTGTAATCTTGCGTGAGGAAGCTAAATATTCGGCGTGCCGCCAACTGAACAGGCCAGTATAATTAATGTCATTGAATAGGAGATAACTAGAAAGTCCTCCAAGAAAAGGTTCCAAAGTGTCTGATTTACTGCTTACCTCACTTTTTCATACGCCCTAACTCACATTTGCACGCTAGTTTTATATTTCATGTATTATTAGAGTATTCGCGTTACTAAAGTGTACTCAGTTGTGGATTGCATGGCAGCCGAGCATCTGCACACAAGGTTGGTATTTCAACACCCCGAGTTATTTTTGAGAGATCTAGCCTCATTTGCAACTAGTTGATCAAAATATCTTTGGGTCAACTGGTTTACTTTATCATTTCCCATTTAATACTTATTACTTATATTTGAGGACAAACGCTCTTTATTTGTGGTGGGGTGAGGCCCACACCTTTTGTGTTGACATTCATGTTTTGTTCTATATATATTTGGGTTGTTTGCTTTAAGTTGTGTTTTAAATTACTGCTTTTCTGTGGATGTTTGAGCTCATGGCTCCTGTTGTTCTAATTAAAAACAATTTTGATCCTTCCGAAAAAAATTGCCACCTCTTGTGTTGAAAGTGGTTGTTCTTTTGCAAAAAAATTTGAGTCTCGATTTCGATCAATACCGATAACTTGAATAGTGCTCCCAATTGAACAAACATGAATGCACGGCTACGACGAGACCAAATGAAGTTACATAGATAATATGTGCACTCTTTGCATCTCGTTGTGACTAGCTATTTATAAAATTGATTCTCTTGTGATGATCGTTACACACTAGCGAACATGTCTAGTCTTGTTTGACTAAAGTATCGATGCCTTGTGTGATTAGCTTACTTTGAACCTTGCATGAATAAACCTAGAATTTGCCCTATTAGTCTGATTGATTTAGAAAGGTGTACTCTTGAGATGATCTTAGGCAATTTTAAAAAGTGTGAGCCAATTTGACATATACCTCTTTTGTGGCCTACCTATGAGCGTGTGAAACTCGTTTGAACACCCTTGGAGCCTTACCTTTCTTTAGAAGAACCTTGATAAACCCTAGACCTTATTTTATCTGCTACCTATAATCCTCTTGATTTGTGGTTTAGTGAATAGCCAGCTTAGGGTGTAGTTAAAGGAAAAAGCAGAAGTCAAGAAGTGCTATAAGAAGTCCCCCTTTACCCATGTTGCAGAACAATGGGGACCTCCACAAAAAACAATATTGAAAAAGAAATTTGTGGAATAAAGTACAAAGGATATTGGGGTTCCAAGCAATTCATGGGGAGTGAATAAAAGGATGACTTAGAAGAGCTAGAAAAAGAAGTGATAAAGGAAAAGAAGGGAATGCTTTGAGAATACCACATCTCACGAGGAAAAAGTCACTAAGTCTAAATGACCATACCTTTGCACTCAGCCCCATTACAAGCCTTAGAAAAACCTTTTTGATCTTGAGTAAGCTGGATTGAAAGTCAATTGGAAAACAAGGGCGAACCTATGGGTGAAAACATGCATTGTGTTTCTCTTTTTGAGTGTGAGTGTTGCATATGATTCCTGATCTTAAATTGACTCATGTATGTATGTGAATATGGAATCATTCTTTGTGCAAGGGCATTTAGATATTTTTGTTGAGCTTGAACTTGCACAAGTAGAAAGTATTGCGAGAGTGAGAATCTTTGGTGATGGTGTGTCACAATTTGAATCTTTGAGTACACAATTGATCCTTGCATAAGTAAATTGAGTCTTGTTATGTACATTCATGATTTAGTCTTGTGTAGCACTGTTTGAGGCACCCTTTTTTAACAGCTCAACTTGAGTTTGCCTGAGGACAAGCAAAAGTTTAAGTTGGGGGTGTTGATAAGTCCACAAATTGGACTCATTTAGGGATTTATTTTAATGAAAATGGTTTCCTTGAATGCTTGTTTTATCTTAATAACTGATTAAAATGCTGAAGTTTCAGGTATTTGAAGCTTTAGTGGAAGCATGGACACTTAAGCGCAAAACGGAGCAAACAGGGCTGAAAAGAACAAGAAATGGAATTCTACGAATCGCCAAGTTTAACTTGGCGAGTCGCCGAAACGACATGAACGCCCTTTGTTCCTATAAGCGAAGCCTTGAAGGAAGTGGATCAAAAGGCGAGGAAAGGAGCAGTCGGCGAGTCGCCGATCAGTTCCGCGAAGCAGTACTGTACCGCCCAATGATCCAGAATGAAAGGATGCTAAAGGCAAGACACCGAAGGCGATGAGCTGACCAAAGGGCGGATCACCGAGTTCATCGGTGATCTCGACTAATGTCGCCAAACATTCCTCCGCAGCACAATCTGTGAAAACTATAAATACAATTTAGAATTGTAGTCTTAAGAGATTTATCGGGAGTGGAACAATTATTATTATTATTATTTTCACTTTAGAACATATTCTAGCTAATATTTTTCTCTCAAGTTTGGAGAGGGTTTTGTGGAGACTTAAAGAAAGGAGTTCTTCTTCCCCAAGTTGGAAGTGGGTCTTCTCTATTCACTTTCATTTGCTTAATTTAAGGTTTAATTTCTTATACCCAGTTAATTTCATTATCATGTTAGGTATAATTTATTATTTCTTGATGTGTGGCTAAAAACCCCCCATTCTTGGGTATGATTTAGCAAATATGGGTTAATATTCTTGTTGGGTCTTACTTGCTGATAGGTTAGATGTATTTTAATGGTGATTTCACCTAGTGGTTGTGGTTTAATCTAAAGGGTTTGTAGTTGCAAATACAAAGCCACCCATGTGTTTTTGGCTTGCCCGAGAGGGAGGTCGCGAAACCAAAACCACTAGACTGATGGCCTAAGGAGTAGGTCGACATGACGTCCAGCCCAAGAGGTTGAGCCCTAGACCCATATCCTAACACTCAGCTCGAGAGAGTGAGTGGGGTAAGGCGTAGGCTGGTCTTCAAGCGGCAAATGGGTGTCCGAGAGAAACGCATTTGAAATGGGGTAAGTTTCCCGAGAGGGAACTTATTTCCATTTAAAGCTTAGCCTAGTCACTATTCTTTTGCAAATTTCCTATCGAAAGCATGTATTTATCTCAACTTGTATTGCGGTCACATCCCAAGAACCTTTCCCCATACTTGATTTTCGTGTTTATTTTACTGCTTTATCACTTGTTACAAAACCCGCATTTGACACTTTCGTGTCACCCCATTTTATTTACGATGTTTTTGTTCATTAATATATTTAGCTACGACTAGTTAGAATGTAAATTCTATTTTTCTATCAGCTCTCAAAACCGCTCCCTTGGGACACGACCCCAACCCTCAGTTGGATTACTATATTATCGACAATCGTAGACATTCATACCGTAGGTTAATGTCGTTGGTCACGATAAGCATCATGTATGCATGTTATTATGTTGTTGTAATGACTTATGTATGTTGCACTTAGTGGGATAGTCGTGTGATCCTACCAGTACATTGTGGTTGTGTACTGATATTGCACTTGTTTGTTCTTTGTTGAGTACAGGTCATCTTCGGGCGGCTATTGATAGACCTCAGCTAGATGACTATTGAGCATGACCGGATTCAAAGGTGAGCTAGTTCTTTCAAGCTGCCATGGATCTCTCTTGTTTAAGTCCACTCTTTTCGGACTCAAACTATTTGTTTAAGGTGTTTGTTTAGTTTCGGGGTTGTACCCCTTGTTCTTAGACTTGTCATTAGTAGAGTTTTGGTACAATGAGTTTCATTTTCTAGGGGTTGTTCTTCCGCATTAGTTTGGTTAGTTGTTTGTTAAAACCTTGGAGTTTATGGGGACTCCATTTTTATAGTCATTTAAACCAGCTTCTGTATCTTTAAATACCTTAGTTTTCATAAAATTTGTTAGTTGGGGTGTAGTTTTGGTTCTCCCACCGGAGGGTTAGTGTGGGTGCCACTCACGATGGTCTGGGTCATGACACATATTTCCTGTTTTAAATCACAAACAAGCAAACCAAAACTAAAATTAAGTTCAACTATAACTAACAAGAACAAAATTCAAGTTAACTAAAAATTCTCAACCAACACCACTCCCCAGCAGCAGCTCCATTTTGATTTCACGTATCAGTACACTTCATCCAATTCTAAGTGTCAACGATTGTTAGTCAGTAATATAACCCAACTAAATGAGTTGGGATCGAATACCACAGGGAGTGGTACGTGTTTAAGAATCAATAGCAAAGTACGAATATGCTCAAGTCAATCATAGGAATAGACATTTACGAATAAAAGCATAATTCAAAATTAAGGGTGACACAAGTGTCAAATAAGGGGGTTTTGGTTTTAACTATCAGCTACAACAACAGAAAATAACATGAATTGACAAGTAATGAGACGGGTTCTTGGGATTGGATTATAGTCTAAGGTACACAAATGGGTAATCACAATTGTTAGTAAATAGT